CACTTAAGAACATTACTTGATTGGATAGTATGATTGCCTTATTTCATGAATTGCTTTGCTTAGTTATTGCTGATAATCGAATCTAAATTTAATAATGATTAAAGTATTCCTTTGATCAGTTCTCTTTCACATAATGAAAGGCTAGAGTCATTACTCACCGAGTATCGGTGGAAAAATTCAGTTGGCCAATTTGCTTGTTGGGGCGTTTGTGATTCGAGAGCTAGAATGAGATGCTGATGTCCTGAGGAAAGAAGCTGCAATTGATTAGGATTGTCATCTTCAATCCTTGGATCATGATCATCAAAACTCACTTAGAGTTTGATGATCTGCTCATCTCATTATCTAGACTCATGACGTCAATGACATCATGATTTGAATCACAAGCCGTTTGCTTGGCATTATCTTGCTCATCACGTGAGCAGCTAGTATCTATTTATGATCATAAGACATGATCAATAAGATTTTGATTTTCTAGATAGATTGATAACTAAAAGATATCAAACTACCTGCACCTCTCCTTTTGCAAAGGATAACGCTTGAAGCGTGATTCCAACGGGGGTTGATAAGTGCACGCCAACCCCCATGGCGCACGCCAATCTGCTGCAGGGTAGGTTGGCCTGCACGCCAAACTGGGTCCTAAACCCATATGTATATGGGTTTAGGACCGGGGCTATCCCATAGGACCCAGGCCTGGGTCCTAGGGGATAGCCCAGAGTGTTTTTTTTTCAAGAAAAAAAATAACAAGGCTTGTCGGGAGGGGTTCCTCCTGGCGAGCCAGTACTTAAACCCACTTGTTGGAGGGAATCCCTTCCGACGAGCTGGTGTACACAACATCTCGTCGGGAGGGGTTCCTCCCGACGAGCCAGTAATTAAACCAGCTCGTCAGGAGGGGTTCCTCCCGGCAACGGTGAAACGATGTGATGTGATGCGATAAATAGCCATGTATTCGTATCGCATCGAAAAAGCGATGCATTGCATCAAAAAAGCGATGCATTGCATCAAAAAAGCGATGCATTGCATCGAAAAAGCAATGCATTGCATCAGCATCGTATCGGAAAGCGATGCAAACCGATGCCACCAAATTATGGTGCATCGCATCGCATCGCTTTGCCGATGCGATACTGATACACTGTATCAAAGAATCCGATGCAAGCGATGCGATGCGGGGCCCCGCATCGCTCTTGCGATGCGATGCGATAAAGGCCCGATACGATGCGATACCTATGCATGCATCACATCAGTTTCATCGTTGCTCCCGGCAAGCCGGTAATTAAACCAGCTCGTCGGAAGGAATCCCTTCCGACGAGCTGGTGTACACAACAGCTCGTTGGGAGGAACCCTTAAACCCACTCGTTGGAAGGAATCCCTTCCGACGAGCTGGTGTACACAACATCTCGGGTTCCTCCCGGCGAGCCGATAATTAAACCAGCTCGCCGGGAGGGGTTCCTCCCAACAAGCCAGTACTTAAACCAGCTCGTCGGAAGGAATCCCTTCCGACAAGCTGGTCTACACACCAGCTCGTTGTGGAACTACTCAACCAGGGAGATAGAGCTTGGAGGGGATATAGACAACTACACTAGTACTAATGTAAGTTGATACTACAGGTGCTGATGAGGCTGCCCTCCTGTGCAATGCTGATGGGAAGAGTGTAACACTAAGAAAAAAGAAGAATAGAGGTGTGGCTGATTTCTACTTTATCTTAGACTACTATTACTGATGAGCTTGTGTATGTAGTACCTACAGAGGTGTGAGGAGGAGGAGGAATGAGGTGTGATGGGATAGTACTGGCAAGAGTGTAACACTGGCAAGGAGGAATGACACTGGCAAAGGGGAATAATCTGGCAAATGAGGATTTATAACTGGTAAGGGGGGATGTATAACTGGCAAATATAACTGGCAATGATATCTGGTAAGGATATAAGGGTGATACTAGTGTTTCTGATTTCTAAGACTATGGTTAGAAGATAATTCAGGCAAGGTACATAGCATAAGGGGGAAAATACATGAGGAGGAAGAAGGAGTATATAAGTGTACAACATGTACATACAACAGTAAAGCACCATGGCTGGGGAAATCCTGGCTATGGGTAATGTAAGTCTTGAACAGTAATGAGTGATGAGAAATAATGTAGCTAAGAGACAGATGTTCTGTGTATACAAGTGTTAATCAGGTATGGAAAGTCAAAGCAGTGTGAAAGGAAATATGTACATGATGTAATGTAGTTAAGGTTATCCTGATTGATGTATGTAATTATGGTTATGCTGAATATGTAGTGTAGTATGTAGTAATGGTGATGTACCATGATGAATGAGTGATTCTACATAGAGACTGTAACTATATAATGTGTAATGTATATGTACTGTATGTATAAAGTAATGTACTGT